GAGAGAGAGAGAGAGAGAGAGAGAGAGAGAGAGAGAGAGAGAGAGAGAGAGAGAGAGAGAGAGAGAGAGAGAATATTAATGAATCCTTTTGTGCCTTCCCTTTCAGGACTTTAAAAGTGCCACTCAGTTTTACTGTATTCTGTATGTCATTGGCTTGAATATGATATTCTTACTCTGTTCCTTTTGGATTAATGGGACCTTTCTCTTAACTTCTTTATGATTTTCCTATTCTCTGGGGTGGGGCTAGGCAAGGAGCTCTTAGACATGTCACCAAAAGCACTATCTATGAAAAAAGAAAATTAATAATTTATCAAACTTTAAAATTTTCCTGAAGGGAAAGATCTAGTAAAAAGGAATGAAAACACAAGTTACAGAATAGGAGAAAATCTTTGCAAACCATGGATCTGACAAAAGCCTTCAATCCAGGATATATAAAGAACTCTCAAAATTCAGTTGCAAGCAATCCAGTTATAAGACAAAGAACATGAAGAAATATTTCAGGGAAATAGCAATGACATATAAGCACATGAAAACAATGACATATAAGCACATGAAAAAATGTTCCGTATTATCAGCCATTAAGGGAATAGAAATTAAAACCACAATGAAATATCAGTATGTGCTGAAAATTAAAAATAGTGTTGACATAAAAGACTGCATGTCATGACTCCATGAATGTAAAATATCCAGAATAGGGAACTTCATACAGACAGAATGTACATTGGTGGTTGCTGGAGTCTGGAGTGTGGAATGGGAAGGGGGAATAGCTGCTAAAGGACATGAGGCTTTTTTCTGAGGATAATGAAAATTTTCTGAAATCAGCGAAAACATCTGCACAACTTTGTGTGTATACTAAAAGATACTGGATTCTGCCCTTTGAGAGGGTAAATTTTATTGTGTGAGTTATGTTATAATTTTTTAAAAATGGTAACATCAAATGTTGGCAAAGATACAGAGAAACTGTATCTCTTATTGCTTGTGGGGATATAAAGTGGTTTAGTTACTCTGGAAAATAATTTGGCAATGTCTGATAAAAGAATAGGTCCTTACCATATAACCCAGCCATTGAACTCTTAGGAATTTAATCTAGAGAAACAAAACATTACTCAAATATTCATAACAATTTTACACACAGTAGCAAAATACTGCAAATAGCCCATACATCCTTCCATGGCTGAATGGTTAAACAAACTAATACACCCATACAATGGAATACTACTCAGGCACATGAAAACTGAACAATTGATACATAAAGCCATCAGATGGACCTTAAGTGCAATATGTCCAGTGAAAAGTGTCACTCAAAATGTTACATAGTATAATTCCAAGTCAAGGATTGTGATGTGACCTACATTGCCTTTGTTGCCCAGAACTGCTTTTGCTATTCTAGGTCTCTTCTGGTTTCAAATAAATTTTGGAGATGTTTTCTCTAATTTTGTGAGATATGCCACTGGTATTTTGATCTGGATTGCATTAAATCTGTATAACAATTTGGAAGTATGTCCATTTTCTCTATACTGGTTCTTCCTACTCAAGAATATATTTCCATTTTCTGATATCCTCTTCAATCTCCTTTTTCATAGTACTGTAGTGTTCAATGTAAAGGTCTTTTACTTCACTAGATTGATTCCTAGGTATTTCTCTTTTTTTTTGGATGCTATTGTGAGAGGTGTTGTTTCCTCAATTTCTCAGTGATTTTGTTATTTGTGTACAGTAATGCTACTGATTTTTGAGTGTTGACTTTGTATCCAGCTACACCACTAGATTTGGTTATTAAATCTACAAGTCTTTTGGTAGAATTTTTGGGGGTCTTCTATGTACAGTATCATGTCATTTGTGAATAATGATAATTTAACTTCTTCCTTTCCTATCTTTACTCCTTTTATTTCTTTTTCTTGTCTAATTGCTCTGGTTGATGCTTCCAGAACTATATTGAATAAGAGTGGTGATAGTGAACAACCTTGCCCTGTTCCTCATTTTAGAGTAAAAGCTTTCAGTTTTTGTACATTTAGTATGATGTTGTGTGTTGATTTGCCATAGATGGCTTTTATCAGATTGAGATAAACACCATCTATTCCAATTTTCTGTAGATTTTTTTTTAATCATGAATGAGTGTTGGACTTTGTCAAATGCTTTTTCTGCATCTATTGAGATGATCATATGGGTTCTCTCCTCTGCTCTATTGACATGGTGTATTACATTTATTGATTTGCATTTGTTGAACCATCCCTGCATCCCTGGGATGAATCCTACTTGGTCCTGGTGTATAGTCTTGATGATTGGTTACATCCTGTTTGTCAATATCTTATTGAGGGTTTTTACATCTATGTTCATTCAGGAGATTGGCCTGCAGTCCTCTTTTTTGGTTGAGTCCTTCTCTGGTTTTGGTATCAGGATAATGCTTGCTTCCAGGAATGAGTGCTACCATTGTGTATATCTAAAATGTACCCCAAAAAGGTTACATAGAGTAACGATGCCATTTATAAGGTATCTTGGAATGACAAAATGATAGAGATAGAGACAGATGGGATGGATGGGAGAAGGAGAGGGCTAATACAAATACAAAGCAGTAGGTCATAAAATCATTCTTTCTTCACTATAGTGATGGTTACAGGAATCTATAGATGGAATGAAATTGTATAGAACCATAAACACATATAATAGTGCACGAAAGTTTTTAAATAGTGAAAATGTGAATAGCTATAGTTTAGTTGACAATTAACTTACCAACGTCAATTTCCTGGTTTTCACATTGTACAGTTATGTAAGATGTCCCATTTGGGATGAGGTATGGGACTCTGGGCACATGGGACTCTGAGGGATATTTGTTATATTTGTTACTTCTTTTGAGTCTATAATTACCTTTAAAAAGTTAAAAGGAAAACACAATTACAAGTGTTGTGGTTTATATCTAAACATTCCCCCAAGAGCATTATGTGCTCATAAGCAGTGCTTCTGGAAGAGGATTGAATCATGGGATACTATAGCTGACTACCTGTTAGGAGATGATACCTGTTATGAGAAGCAGACCATTTCTGCTTGGGTATTGGCTGATCATGGACTTCAAAGAGCAACCACAACAAAGCTCTTCTCCTTTAAACTGTGAGTGTTGGGTATTTGTCTCAAGGACAAGGAAGTGACTAAGAAAAGAAGGTTATATCCCAAGGAGTAACTACTAAATTTGGGCTTACAAAGTCCAGTTACACACACACACACACACACACACACACACACACACACACACACACAGTTAATCTATGGTAAATGATTAGTATAATATTTTAGATGGGAGAAATATGTGCCATTCTCTCCACAAATGGTGTTAAAATAACTGGCTAGTCTATGAATAATAAAATAAAACTGCTCAGTTTTCATTTTGTTCACCAAATTAAATTGTAGAACGTGGTTTTTAAAATAAATAGTAAATATTTGTTGAGTGATAGGTGCTTTAAATATTTGAAGGGCATGGAGTTTCTGTGTTGCTGAGGACTGTGGCTGGTGCAGAAAGCTGAAGACAATAGGTGTTAACCACTCTCACATTCTCTTTACAGAACTCCTTTTTGCTCCGAGGGCAGCCACCTCCTCAGAGATCGCCTGAAAGAACACACCGCATAAATTACCTCCACTGTAAAATAGGCAGGAGAGAGTTGCTTGTGGGGAATCTAGGGTCATTGGAAAGAGGCTGTTCCTGTCACAGGGCTGTTTAGAGGGCTGAAGGAGGTTGTACATAGAAAGGGCTCAACAGCTGCCCAGAATAAGCAGGAAAGACACCATTGTTTATTTGCATTTGAAAGGGCATCAGCAGCATGAACAAATAAATGAGTGGGCAAAATTTTATGGGAAAACACAAGTCCACATGAGAATATTCACAAGATGAGGCAGGCCTTCAATGTGAGGTCTTTCAAATTCGTAAATAATCATAGAAGTATAGAAATTGTGAAAGGGCTGTGGGCCTCTTTGGGGAATGGTGTCCAGCATAGCCTCATTTTCATCTCCACTGCTCCATTTCAGCTCAGGCCTCAGCAAGCCACAGTGCAGCTGTGACCCCCTGAGGTGCATCTCTGCCTAAGGCCTGAGACCTCTGTGGCTCTTTCAAGCCTCCTGTGTTTGGCCAAGGTGGCTGCTCTGGTTCCAGCCATCTTGTCTGTCTACACTTCAGTCATCAGAAAGGAGAAACCAAGAAAAACAAATCTTCTTTGAACATTATTCCACAGAAGTTGCACAAGCTTGTTTTCATTTACATCCATTGGCCAGACTTTAAACACACGACCTCATTAACTGTGGGCAGAGCAGGCATTAATGTCTTCCAAATTGACATGTGCTTAGTGAAAGCTGGAGGTGGGGGATTTCTAAGTAAAACAATGAAGGGGAAAAATGTACTCTTTTAGTCAGTTTTTCACTGCTGGATCAAAATAGCTGACATACACAATTTAAAGGAGAAGAGGTCTATTAGGGTGCCTGATTTCAGAGGTCAGTCCATGGTTGGCTGGCTCTAAGGCAGAACCATCATGGCAGAAGTTCATGGTGGAAGAATGCTGCTCACCTCATAGCAGCCAGGAAGCAGAGAGAACAATAAAGAGGCATAGGGAAGGGAACCAAGCAACAGATATACAGACAAAATTGTGCTTTACTAACCTCCTAGTGTTTCTCAAATCAATCCAGTTGACAATAAAGATTAACCATCACATGTACATTGAGAAACAAGAATTTCTCTTGCCACTGGGACCCAATGGTCTTTGAAATGTGACCTTTTTCCCTACTAAAACTCTTTCCATGACCACCTAATTAATCTCTCTGTCTACACTTACTAATTCTCCTGAGTCAGTACCATCAGTTATAAATTAATATACATTAATATACATATTTAATTAAATTACTATCCTATCTGACAATCTTTACTGAGTCTCTTTCACTTACAGACAAAGCTCCTCCCCTTTTGCTAACATGAATTAAAATCCTTCACAATAGCATTTCCACTTGATATCCATCTCTCTTCCTACCTTGCTGTATTAGTCATTTTTCTGTTTCTGGGACAAAATACATGACCATCGCAATGTAAAGCAGAGAGGTCTATTCGGCTCAAGGTTTCAGAAGGTTCAATCCATGGTTGGTTGCAGAAACAGCATGGTGGAAGGGCATGGCACAGGAGAGCTGCTCAACCCACAGCAGCCAGGAAGCAGAGAGAGCAGGGAGGAGCTGTGGCCAAGAATGACACCTCCTCAGGTCACACCTCTAGCAACCCACCTCCAACCAGGCCCTACCTCCTAGCAGCATATTCACCTATGAACTCATCAACTGGTCAATCCACTGTTGAGTACAGCATCTACATGATTTAATCACCTTTCAAAAGTCCTGCATCTGAACACACAAGGCTTTTGGGGGACATTTTAGGTCTACGCTATAACACCGGCCTTTCACTGAATATAGTAGTAGATTTCAGTTCTCCATGACTTTTCACATGATAGGTCCCCTACAAGAATTGTCTCCCTAAAAAGACATAACCAACGATTGATATCTAAGCCTATCATAGGTCATTTCTTTTATAAATACCATTTTCAAGTCCCATGTAGTAAAAGTAATCTACCCTTGCTCTAAATAGTCACTGTTTTATGCTGCCTCTTGTTAGAATAAATTGTAACATTTTCATATTCACAACTACAATGATATTGTTCTTTGCGTAGTATTCACTGTATCTTTACTCATCTTTGTGGTCCTGATGGTACTATGTCCCAGAATTCTTACTAAAAGCTGCATAATACATACTTATTAAATGAAATTGGCATGTAACATGTGAATTTATGGGAGGGAAAAGAAAACCTCGAACCAGCTCTCTTTGGATCAAATACTCATGTAAAATGGATTAAATGCTGTATCAACAATCTAGCATTATTCATTACACAATTCTTTCTAAGTCTACATGCATTCATTTGGAATTATTTTGAGTGATTTGTGTTACTAACACAAAGCGTAATAAGGATTCACATCAGAAAGGACAACTTGCAAGCTATTTTTAGCTCTAACACGGAAGTGACAGTTTTTAAATTTTTTGCAGAAGTGTTAAAACTTATCTCAGTCAAACACTTGCTGAGACATTTAGTATGTCATGTTATTTAGCTTTCTATTTTAACCTTTCAGGTCTAGATGGAAAAAAGAAAAATATGGTTTTGATTGCTGCTAATTTTCTTGTGACAGAAATGAAAATAGTTGCAATGTTGAATTGCCTTGTGTTAAAACATGACAACAACCCTTTTCCACATTTTTATTACTATTGTGGTTATTGGCACATATGAGTTGTACAAATTAATGGAATTCACTGCGAAGTTTCCATGCCTGCACAGATCATGCAGTGCTCGCATCCACTCACTGTTTTTGCACCCTCAATTTGGTCTTCTCCCTCTCCTCAACCCTCTTTCATATTCACCTTCTTTCCACATTGACCCATTTCACTAGCTCTTTATTAAGTTCAGATGGGGACATATGGCTATGTGAAAATGTATGTGAAATAGGTAATAAACTCCTAATTGATTAAGAAGTTATCTGAAAATCAATCCTACATTGGCTTCATAAGGACACCTCTTCCTGAAAAACTGAATCTCACAGTAACCCTTTTGTAACGAAGTATATATGCTTTGTCACTTGGTCAGTCCATCTCCTGGGCCCTCTCTGACCCCTTCTTACATCCATACTTCTTTTTTCTGAGCCTAGTATAACTGTCTCCAACACTTAGCATTGACCTTGGTTGTATGGGAAGACTTGGAACACTGATCAGGGCTCTGGAGCTACACTGCTCCCCTGAATCCTGAGTTAGCTGAAGCCTTGTAATGTGTTGCATAGGGACATTTCAGTCAATGGCATTGACATAAGATTATAGTGGAGCTGTAAAGTGCTTATTGCCTTGGGACAGTATAGCTGGTCATAGCACAATGCATTACTCTCATGTTTATGGTGATGCTGGTGTAAACATACCCACTGTGCCACCAGTCATATAAAATATAATACATAAAGTGTAGTCCATGTGTGACCATGATTTGTCAAGTTGAATGGATCGAGAAACACCTAGGAGATCTGTGGAGTAAACATCTGGATGTCCCTGTGGGAGGTTTCCAGACATGATTGGCGTGTGGGCCAGCAAACTAGGGGTGGGGGGAAACCTGCCATGATTGTGTGTGGCACCAGGTAGAATAAAGGAAAGAAAGAGGAAGTCTGCTGCCTGATTCAGAAGCCCCATTCTACCTGAGTGGCATGTCTTCTGCTGCTGCTGTTGCATATAGACATCAGACTCCAATTTCTTCAGCCTTCTAGACCCTCAGTCTCAGACCGGTGCTGCATCCTTCATCCCTCTTATTCTGCACCATCCAAGGTCTTGTGCTGAGCCACCACTGGATTCTCCAGCTCTCCATGTGCAGATGGTCATTGTGGACTCTCCCACCTCTTGTCCTGTAAGCTATCTAGCAAATCTCCTTGCCTAATTACACATATATATTTCCTATCAATTTTGTTCTTTTAGAGAACCCCAAACAGTAGAGCATACAACTGCATCAGTACAGAATTCTTGAAAATGATAATAAATGACTATTACTAGTATATGTATTTACTGTACTGTACTTTTTATCACTATCTTAGAGTTCATAACAAAGCACTTTGCTCTATTATCCCAGTAGTAGCTTCATCCATCTGTGTTTACAGAAACTCTTTGTGTGTGTGTGTGTGTGTGTGTGTGTGTGTGTTTTTCCCCCTCACTATTGGATTAAACTCAGAGTTTTCACAATGAACTACATCCCCAGATACCTTTATCTTTCTATTTTGAGACAGGCTCTCACTAAGTTGTTAAGTTGTCCCTGCTGAGCTCAAACTTATGATCCTTCTGCCTCACTATGCTCAACTTGATTGCATCATTTTCTCTTGGGGCTGATTTAATCTCATATTTTTTTTGTTCATCTTGGTCCTATGACCAATAGTCTATACCACAAAAATGCCATATAGCCTAGGAGTACAGTATACTCTGTACCATCTAAGTTTGTGTAAGGACACTCAGTGTTTACACAGAGACACAATCACCTTAGGATCCATTTCCTGTCAGTCATGATTTCTGATTGTAGATAGGTGGAATGAAAATCAATGGTAAGGTTGATATTTAGGGTTCTAGCTCTATCTCCAAAAATTGTATTTAAGGTAGTCTCCTAGTGACAGAAGTGCAGAACTGGGCAGGAGCGGGGAGGGAGTAATGAAGTGAGTGTCTGCTGGGAGCTTTGCACCATGCTGGACGGTCCAGGCATACTGGCACTGTATGCAAGGGTCCCCAAGCTTTACTGGCTTGGCACCAAGGACAGGGTCCTGAAGAATTTCTGAAAATTTCTGGAATGGCTTCACCTGTGCCCTTTCGTGCAGAGTCCCAGTGTTACTGACTGAGGAGCTCTCCCCAGCACAGGGAGGCCAATGATCTCCTCAAGACGGCAAAACTGTTGATGTTCCGTGTCTCATGGGAAAAACTGCCCCAAACCCCATTCACATTCATATTGAAGATTTTGTTAGAAGAGTTTCAGAGTGGAGCTCCTCATTTCAGGTGTTTAGAGCTTTTATTAAACACTCTTTGTCTCTATGTATTGCCCCGAGTCTTCAATAGTCTCAGATTGTCAAGGTCATGATGCCTGATTCAGGACTCCTTGCATGAGTTCTCTTCCCAAATGCTTCTCAGCTCCTAGAGGAAAAGAGTCTGGATGGGTCACCCCTCTGCTTGCACATGCTCATAGCCTAGTGTGGAGTGACACACTGTCTCAGTCCCCTCAAGCTGCTCTAACAAGATACCTCTCACGGGGCTGGGGATTTAGCTCAGCGGCACAGTGCCTGCCTGGCAAGCACAAGGTTGTGAGTTCGATTCCTGGTACCGGAGAAAAAACAAAAACAAAAAAAACCAAAAACAAACAAACAAACAAAAAACAAGATACCTCTCATGAGGTGGCTTGCAAGCAATAGGAATCTACTGCTCTCTGCTCTGGAGCCGGAAGCTCAAGATTAAGGCACTAGCACATTGAGTGTCTGCTGAGGATCTCTTTTCTGATGGTGGGCGCCTTCCTGCTCTATCTACAGCTGATCACAGGGTGAGGTTGCTCTCAGGCCTCTTTTATTTTTATTTCATTTCATTTTATTTTATTTATTTATTTTGCCTTTTTGAGACAGGATCTTGCTATGCAGTTCAGGCTGGACTTGAGCTCACTTTGTACCCTAGGCTGGTCTTGAACTCACATCGATCCTCCTGTTCATCCTCCTGAGTGCTGGGATTACAGTCATGCACCACCATGCCCGGCTCAGACCTCTTATGTATGGCACTGTTCCCCTTTATCAGGGCTCTTCCTTCAAGATCTGAGCACCTCCCACAGGCTCCACCCCTTCATTCCATCACACTGGGGATTGAGTTTCAGCACACACATTTTGGGGAAAACCACAGCAAGAACTATGGCATTTGAATAAATATCTGTGAGTGGATCTTTGCAGACACTGGCTGAGTCCTCTCCCAGGAAGGCCCTCTATCTCCCTGCAAACAGGCTTCTGGCAGGCTGTGTGCCAATCCTGGCTTGTCTGAATTCCATTCAGTTCAAGTTGCCAATCCTTCAACCTCATTTACTTTACAGATAAAGCCATGAACTATGTACTGGCATCATTAATGTCCTGACTTTATAGATAAAATACAAAAAAGAATGCTCAGAAGTTTTCAGGAGCCACCCATCCATGACACTTTTATCAGGCTGCTTTACTCTGCCAAGTAGCTTTAAGCATTGTTTACTTCCAACACATTACATTCTTTTTTTTTTTTTCCCCAGAAAATCACCCCTGGAGAAGAAAAGCCACTTCATCCCAGAATTTATACCCCACTGGGGCAGGTTATAGTCATTGTCTAACACTAGGATACTAAATGCTGAGTCCCGGGTCACAAGGTAGGATGCTCCTCCCGCAAGATCAGTCAGAAGCAAATCTCTAGCTGAGACCACATCCTTGCTTCCTCTTTCTCCTTTAGAGGAAGTAGCCCAGTCGAAGGGATCCAAAACCCACTCCTGACATTGCCACCCCTTGCTCAAGCTCAAGTCCGTTGACAGATTCAGCCTGATGTCATTACCTGGGCAGTGCATTGGTAGAAACCTAGCTGGAAGCTGAAATCACAGTGTCAGTGTTGTATCTGTCCATCATGGAACATGACGACGGTGTTCCAATCCCAGCTCAGCCCCTTAGTGACTGCAGGACCCAGCACAGTCACTTATCCTGTCTCAGTTTTAGTTTCTTCCTATAAAAAATGAGGTACTGTGGTTGATGTCAGGGTTAGATACATTTCTACAGTTACTTAATTTTTCCTTTGAGCCTTGGAGTGGTAGAATTGTATCCTCAAAAATACACATCCAAGTCTTAACCTCCAGACCTGATCTGAAAATAGAATTATTATAGATGTAAGTAGTTGAGAGAAGGTAAACTTGGTTAAGGTAGGCCCTAAATCTGACAGCTAGTGTCTCTATGTCTCTTCTATAAGAGGAGACAGAGAGACATATGGTGGGCCTCACCATATCCGCATATAATCCACCACCTGGTCCCACAAAATCAGATGAATCAGGAGCATGATACTGAACAATACAAACTGCTTCAAATAGCAACTTCAATTTCATCTGCTGTAG